GCCTTTTCCGGGTTCTCTAGGCAGAGAATGCTCGGAAGTGGTTTACCATTCCCTTCTTCTGGGGATGCCCTGGGACTGTGCACCTTGCCCAAATCCACACAGGTTGGCTATTCTCCCTGGAGGCACAGTGGGGAAATTGAACTCCCAACCTCTGACTCCACAGCTAACTCACCGAGCTATTACAGCCGTGAACAAAATAGCAGGGATTAAATGTCTACATTTTTATGTACAACTCATCTCTCTCCAGTTTTGAAGCATAAAGAGTGCACATTTTCCCATATTTTTAACTGTGTGATCCATTTGGATGCAACAGATAACAGGTGGACTCTAGAAACATGTTAGTGCAGTTACACAGTACACTGCCACACCCCCATGCATGTACGTTCAGTTTATACCTTTTAGGCATGCATAGAGATGGATGTAAACAAATGTCTTGTTGGATCTTTTCTAGCTTGTTTAAATTCTGTTGCATCAAATTTTATTAATTAATTTATTTTTAGTGCCTAAACCAATTGACGTTACCATAGAATCATACAACTTCAATACCTCTGTACACTGGAATTACCAAGGCGGATCTTCAAAGCCTCTCTTTATTGTAGAAAAGCGCTGCTATGGGTAAGAATATTTTATTTTGAAGTGTAACTTTTACCTTATTGTCTGTGTAATCCTTTTATTGAATCTTTACTCCTTTTTTGTTTGATTGTTGCTGGTTACCTTCTAATGTCTTAAAAATGTGTCAGTCGTAGACTAGACAATCTTCCTTTGGAATTTTATCATTGTTTGTAATCTTGTGAATCTGAGCTTTGACATTTTTCCCCCAATAGTTTTGGCAGCAACAATTGGACTGAAGTTGCCAACTGTGTGAACATATTGCAGCATTATTGTGATCTTACACACAAGATAGAACAATGTGATTTTTTCTGGGCCAGAGTCAAAGCTCTTGATGGACTACATGAATCTAACTATACAACATCTGATGTGTTTACTGTAATCAGGAATGGTAAGTTGGAATGTGAAACATGTGATTTTAGGTATTGAATGTTCACCTTTTGTGTGTGTGTGAAAGACTGTATTGCCTTTGCTGTATTTGCAAAGTTTATAATGTATGCTTCAATATGACAGCAATTGATTAGCAATCCAACAGCATTAGATGTGGGCATTATTTTTGCATGATCACTGGTAAATTAGTAGTATTATTTATAATGTGACTTTGTTAATATCCATATGGTATGTGTGTCTGTGCCATCAAGTCAGTTCTGGCTTATGGCAACCCATTTCAGGGTTTCTTAGATAGAGAGTACTCAGATGAGGTTTACCATTCCCTTCTTCTGGGGTCCTGGGACTGTGTAGCTTGCCCAAGGCCACATTGGCTGGCTGTTCTTGGAGGCACAGTGGGGAATTGAACTCCCAACCTCTGGCTTTGCAACCAGATGCCTATCCCACCGAGCTATCCAGTCAGCTAATATCCAAATTATAGTTCATAAAGATGGCCTCACAGCTTCCGTAGATGTTAATACAAGTGTGATTGCTCACTTACTGTCTGGTTCTTCCTTACCCTCTTCCTGAAGTGCAAGTTTGGGAATATAAGACGGTACAGCTATATTGTCAGTCTCAGCTGTGACCCACACAATGGAATGTGGGGGACAGGAATACCGTCCTGCTAAGCAAAGGAATGACAGACACTGGATTCAGTAGAAAAACTAAAATTACTTTATTCAGATATGAGAGCTCTCAGGTTCAAAGAGGGACAGTGGGCACCGGGCATGCCCTTGGTTAAATACTGCTAGGTAAACAAGGGAGATGAAAAAAGGAAGTCTTTAATCACTGAAAATCCCATATTGCTTCAGTCATTTTGGTACCTTTTCAATCTTCTTGGTTTTGAAAACTAAGCTTTCCTATTGTATGAAAATATTGCACTGTGAATGTTATAAGTGTTCAACTCTTTCAGGTAAAATAGGGCCACCGAAGCTTAACCTCTCCATTGTTAATGATGAGATCCATGTTAATATTGAAAATCCTCTCACTCCATATCGCAAGAAATACCCACTTAGCGTAGCAGCAAACCTCACAGATTTCACCTATGAGGTGTTCCTTTGGGAAAAGGGGAGCCGTGAGAAGGTAAGGTTTCGGATTAGTTAAAGTTTACCTTTTGTAACTGTGAAAAGGCAAGAAAAAGCCTGAAAAAAAGATTTCCATCTGAGGCTTTATTAACATGTGGCTCCTACCCATGATGGGAGAATGATGCAAGCTCCACCGTCACTGCTGTTGCTTTCAACACACAAAAGTGATGATCTGAGGACGATGGGGATGGCTCCTGTGTATAAACAGCCTCTCCATGTGAGCCAGAATCCTGATGATCTTTAGGTTTCCAGATGTCTGGAGAGGGCCCCGGCATAGGTCACTCTTCCCACTCAGTTTGCCACTTTCCATGTTCAAAGCAGAGTGAGATTGGGGTGGCTCATTCTCTTCATCACATGTAACACCACATACATTAACAAAACATGAATGGCGCTTAACTGTGGCTTCAGCAGAAGGAGGCACAGTGAGAGTCTCTGAACTCCAGGAAGCAGGGCTTTCCACAGGCTGAGAATACTGATTGCAGAAGAAGGGAGATGAGAGATAGGGGGAAAAAACACTACAAGAGAGCTAGCTTAATGGAGGGACCCTGAACGACTGTGTGGAAGAATAAAGAATGAAGCACAGTATGATGTAAGTATTTAGCAATGAGGAACAAAAGTTTGAAGTGAATGTGCTATAAGAGGGAGGCCAGTAAAGAGCAGAAGCAAGACAGGAATGATGCAACCAGGAATTTGAAAAGGCAAGAGATTTTAGTTTAAGGTGGATGAAATTTCTGAGAGTTTACACACACAGTGGATCAAGTGTGAGTATAAAAAAACCACATGGATCACAGATAAAATCAGTTGAAATTATATTTATTTAGCCATGGAAAATCTTCAAGAATGTTTACTGTATAACATGTTGACAAATAAACTAACAGTACTTGAATATTTTACTTGGAATAGACTTGTGCTTGACAGGTATATAACAGGTTCATAATAGTTTCCTTAGTAGTGTACTGATAGCAGGCAGCATAACTAAAAAAAACACTACTTCTCAAGAAAAAAACATCATGCTTACAAACAGACCAAGCAGAATAAGCCTCATCCTAACTGTCACTGCTACTTTTATCTGACAGTTAACCCACTTAACACCCGTTGGCTAAAACCAGATAGAATCTGATTGTTTACAGTGTTCTATTATGTAAATAACAACACATCACGTTAATTCTTTTATACACACGTATATATGCTGGGTTGCACACTTGTATATTCTAACAAAGATAAGTGGTTAAAACAGAAAAACTTAAAAGGCAAGTTAAAAAAAGAAAAACAGGCAAGTCTGGAAATGTAGGGAAGTGCATTTAGTAATTAAGGCAGGACAGCGCAGGCAAAACCAGACTTTGCTGCCGTAGCAGTTAAGAAAGACCACCACATGGATCACAGATAAAATCAGTTGAAATTGAAAAATCCATTTGTCTAAAGTTCTCCCCTTATTTAAAACTGTTTTATTTACATTGTCATATTATTGTTGTACGCCGCCTAGAGTGGTCCTAATCGACTAGATAGGTGGGATATAAATAAAATAATAAATAATAAATCAGAAAAAAACTGTTCTCCTAGCACCACTACAGGCTACTTTTATCTGACAGTTAACCCACTTAACACCCGTTGGCTAAAACCAGATAGAATCTGATTGTTTACAGTGTTCTATTATGTAAATAACAACACATCACGTTAATTCTTTTATACACACGTATATATGCTGGGTTGCACACTTGTATATTCTAACAAAGATAAGTGGTTAAAACAGAAAAACTTAAAAGGCAAGTTAAAAAAAGAAAAACAGGCAAGTCTGGAAATGTAGGGAAGTGCATTTAGTAATTAAGGCAGGACAGCGCAGGCAAAACCAGACTTTGCTGCCGTAGCAGTTAAGAAAGACCGAAGGGAATCTGGCAGTTTTCAATACACTAAAATATTGGAATATTTCAATAGCATTAATAAAAGGGGGGGAAAACCCACACAAAACACTTTTTTATGTTCTTGAAAAGACAAGCCAGTTACAGTGCACCCTGCATTTGCAAAAGGAAAGAACAGCTGATGATGATAACAGATCAGGAAAAAAAACTGTTCTCCTAGCACCACTACAGTGTTGACTCATGCTTGTTAGTTGAACAGTTTTAATTTGCAGCAATGAGAGAAAATCTAAGATGTGTCTTCGAACATCAGACAATGGACCGGGGCCCATAAACGTTACTGTCATGGTTTATCCATACTTAAATTGCTACAAAGCTGTGTTGTTGTTTATGGATCAAGAAGGTTAATGTTTAGCAAGTAGAAGATAAAAGTTTTGAGAAGTAGCGGGATCAAAGGCAATAGTTTTGTCAACCAAAAAATAGCAGCTGAAAGAGGACATATTAGAACACAGGTAATCACAGAGGTGTTCTCTAAATATAAAACTCTTCTTTTTTACAGCGCACAACATTTATGTTAGACGAGTGTCCACGTAGAAGATGTACTAAAAACCTCCATGTTCCATCATGGGATGCTTCATACTGTGTTTCAGCTCAGGGCATTTCAGTTTCAAATGATGTGATAGGGGAAGAATCAGAAGAAAACTGTATTAGTTTTCCACCTAAACAGTCATCAGGTAAGAAAGCAATTACATAATTTAAACACAAGATGACTGAAATTGAGGAGTAAATCATAACTAGCACAGGCCCATTGAATCAGTGGGGATTTGGTGAGTCAACGCTACTGTTAGATCCATTGATTCTTTGTGTCTATCCATGATTTTACTAGATTTCAGCAAGTAGCTTGGACAGAAGTATCTCAGCCCTGTGACCACCTCATTGTTGTGGCAAGCATACCAAAAGACTTAAGTTTTGAGTCTTACTAATAACTGGATTTTTCTTGCTTAAGGGCAAAGTGATCTGTAATAGGATTAAGACCAAGATGGTATCTCCCATGATGCAAATAAGGTGTTGCAGTTTCCTATGCATACTGTTGAAGGAGGAATCCAACCAGTCTTCACTGGTCTGAGTATTCTGAATGAAGACGTTTGCATGTCAAACACTCAGTTTTCTAATGATCTGTGGTTACTCCACAGTACTTTTTTCAAACCCTTTGGCTAGAGAGTTTCCATGATCTAGGCTTTAATGATTGTGGGTGAATAGTAGAATCTAATCCAGCCTATATGAACTTGCACTGGGAAGACATTGGCTGAAACCAGAACATCAGTTCTTCTTGCATTGTTCTGCTAAAAGCAGCCAGACCCATATTACTTACATCTACCAGTGCAAGCGCAGCAGCACAGTGGCAAATTGATGGTAACTTCTTGTATTCCTTATAGTGTACCATCTATTTTAAAGTTATCATGTTGTGTGTTCCTAGACAATATGGACATTCAGCTTGTTTCCAAGCTACCTTCCATGACACTTTTCAGATTATTTGTGTACAGCCAAGGAAGAAATTTTTAAATTACAGAAAAGATAATTTTGCTGCTTTAAAATACACGTAAAATGTAGATTTGTCAAATAATAGTAGTATAGCTAAAATATTTGAATGTGACAATAAATGATGTCTTTATTTTGTAGGTTCAACAGTGCTTATAATTGTGGGTGTTTTTGTCTTACTTCTTGTGCTGATCGTTCTCATAATAGTCTATGTATGTGCATATAAGAAGAAAATTAAACTTCCCAAGTCTCTGGTAAGTTCTTTATAGGAACCAACAGATCCTTCCTTCTCTAGAATGTCTTAATATCTCACAGACTGAGTGTTATTTGAGGTTTAGGATGGTTATGGCCTGTTTTATAACCCCAAGAGACACTCAAGGCAGCTTGCAAAAAATTTGGCTAATATAATTGTAATCAGTGGTAATTTCAGGACCTAAGCAATATTCAGTAGAGCACACCAAGTAAGTAGAAAAAGGCTCCCCAAGAAACTCTGGTAGGTAGTCTCAGCACCAGCACATGACATTTTCAAGGCAGTGGTTGATGTGAGGTCTCTGTTCCCCTTGAGTTTTGTTTATTCCTGTGTTGACTCACTGCTAAAAGCCGTCAGATTGCTGGGATGACTGCCATTTCGTTTCTGTATAAGGCAATGTCTGCTACATTTCTGTTGGACTTCTTGCTGAGTTGGCAGTTGAGGTGGAAGCAAACTGACGGTGATGCTGGCAGTAGCAGTGAAGTAGTGTGGTTGAATTAGCTGGTACAGCTACCACTTAAATTTTCCCACAACACAATCCCTGCCACATGTGTATATAAGAGTGGGGGCGCTAAAGTGCTGAATACCTGTTGTAGTGGAAAACAAACCAGCACGAACCACTGAACCAGTAGTTCATGCTCATCTCTAGTCTCATACACCACAACAGTTGCACAGGATTAGCTTGGAGTCATGATAATATAGATACTCTCTCTTGCTCTCACATATTCCACATTGGAAATGGAACTATGTGCCAGTTAAGTGTGTCTCAGACATATCTCTTCTGTTAGAAGCATCCAGAATGACCACTGCAGCTCTAGTATGTTTCTCCATGGATACATATAATTAATTTATTGGTTTATTTGGAAGGCAGATGACACCATAGAGACACACTAGCAGGAGAAATTAGTCACTTCTTTTACCCTGAGGGTTGTGAACCACCTATTTAAAAGCTGATAAAAAGAGTGCATGGGTTGAGCTGAGGGGTGCTTCCCCTTACTATTTCAGGGCGAGCGTCCCAGAGTAGTCCATTAATTGCCATTTGACACCAGGTAGCTAAACAAAATCTTCTTCACTTCTGAATACAATTTGGGTAATGACCTGAAAGTATTCCTTGCATCTTAACTTGCTATTCAGTCGCTCTACAGAAATTTTGCAATTTCCTGAAGCTCCTAGAATGATCTTGGTTAGAATATTTGTATATCGTTTGAATAACTGGTCCATTGAAAACCAGCCTTTCTCCTTTCCTCTCTAATGAATTGTGTGTCATCAAGAGAATTTCCAAGTCATGGCAACCTTTTCCAGGGTCTACTAGATAGACAATTCTCAGTAGTGGTTTACCATTCCCTTCTGCTGGGGCCACTCTGGAACTATGTGGCTTGCCAAGGCCACACCATCTGGTTGTTCTCCTACAAATCACAGTGGGGAATTGAACTCACAGCATCTGGCTCCACAGCAAATGCCTAACTCCCTGAAAAGCCTCTTCAGGGAGTTGAGGGGGCAAACCAGTCCTAACTGAGTGGAGAAAGCTTTGAGCAAATATAGCTGTTTGTGCAAAACTTCTGTGTCCTTTTTTGAGCAGTACAGTCCTAGTGACACTGCTTACACAGCCCAGGAGAGCCCCTCTCTCCTCTCTCATGCAGGCCTTTACATGTGCAGGAAAGCCTTCTTTGGAGGGTTTATCCAGCCCTCTGGCAAAGACAGGTGTCGGCAGGATCAGCTCTTCCCACTTCCCCTGGCAGAAAAAGGGCTATCCATTGAAACTACCCCTTTGGATTTTTGCCTCAGTTCTTCTGTCTTTATAAACAATAGGACAGAAGAAGCAAATCCTTTGCCATAATAGCTTAATATATACTAGTGGTGAGGGCAAAGGGAAAATGAGGAAAAAAGAAAGTTAATGTATCAATATACTTCCACATGTTCACCTTTGGAATGGGTTTGGGGTCTCTTCCCCACCCACCCCCTCTGGGAATTGCAACTAGCAGCTAATTGTTCGCTTTTCATTTTAAGGTTTCTGTGGTAAGGAGCCAAGTCAGCAGCAGTTTTGACATAAAACCAGAAGGCAAATATATCTCTGTTGTAACTTCATCGTCCTATAAGCCAGTGTCGCCGGAATGTGAAGATGAAAAAACAGTGGAACACGTAGATTTTGTAACAGAGGATAAGATCGTTCACCTCAGTAACAGTGGCAAAGAAGTATATGCTGATGGCTCGCAAGACATTTTAAGTAAAGCAAGTGGCGAGATGAACATTGAAGAAGTTGTAGTGGTGGACATCACTGGGGGTGAACAAGACTCAGACAATTATTTTCAATCTGTCAGTGGCCAACAAGAGATGTGTAATAATCTCCCAACTCTGAACCTTCCGTGTGCAGATGTGCAACAGCCTAAAACTCAAGGAAGCTGCAGGAACATAGGTGGGTATGATAAACCTCATTGGCAAGATGCACACCCTGAAGGAGAATCACTGGTTACTTAGATGCCCAGTTATGAGCCTGAAGCACATGGGCGCCATTTATCTTACAAGAGAGAAACATCAAAAACTGTAAGCGGTTTCCTGGCTATTGCAAGTATCCATGGTGGATATGGATAAAAAGTTTGATCCAACTTAAAAGGATAGCCAAAGAGACTTCAAATCATTGCATCCGAGACTTGCACTTTCTTCTTTTAAAGAAATAACTGAGGTCTGTAGACCTGCGAGCAGTAGTCTCCAGCCTTTTAAAGGTCATGGGGATTTTATTGCTTTGCTGTGTGAGAATGCTTTTTGGGGCAGAACATGTAACACTGGAAGCACTGCAAGTTCTTGAAGTGAATGTACTGCAGAAATCCTTCTTGAGGCCTCTCATATTGTGTCTCGTTGCCAATGCTCTTCCCTCACCCCCAGTGTGGACTGGGATACACTCGTGGAGAAAAGAGACTGGTGGACAGTACAGCCACTCTTCCCATATAGCATGCTGCAGATGGGAGATGAAACAAGCATGACAGTAGCAGTCACGTGGCCAAGCAATGTATGAAAGGAGAGCAGAAAAGGGCACACTCATCATCATCATCACCACCCGATGCTGACAGTGGTTTAACAACATATAGCATGTTCAGATAACTGAGTGATACTAGGGTTTTGCCATTCATAAAGTGTCACAGTTTGTATATTTTGCCATGTGGGGGATGACTATACAGTATTTTGATTCAAATATATACTGATTTGATTCAAACCAGTGATGTATATAAAATTTTACATAATTCAAATGGATGGGCGGGGGAGAATCCTTCAGGCTTTTCTTTCTGCAAGGATCCAATAAAAGATATGTCAGCACTCTAATCCTTCAGGAATCTGGCTATATTAAAGGACTGGTTTTTTTTTCTTTTACTATGTGTGTTCTTACAGCATGTTTGGCCTAGTATATAAAGAGAGTCCTGAAAAGAAAAGGGAAGTGTTCCATCCCTAGCTTATTTTGTGAGTAAAATGCAGGTTGATGAAATTCTTGTGCAGGCTAGTAACTTTTATGTTCTCCTCTATAAAACAGAGGACACACTGCCTTGGATTCCCTTGATTTTGTTCCATCCAGTACAATACCTCACCTACCCCCCTCCCGGCCCCCATGTACTTCTCCATGGTAGAGTAATTTAGTGCTTCCATCTAGATTGCTCTACCTACTATGTAATGATGATATTTTCTGGACCCGTGTCATTTAATCATTCCTCTCCTTTAGATCAGTTGGGATTGCTGCAACATGCCTTGTCCCATCTTAATGGAAGCTAGAGAAAACCAGTTCTTTTGTTTTGTGTGAAGAATCCTAAACCAATCAACAGTCATCTGTGAAACTATGTAAATTAGAAAAGAAATTACACATTGCCATCTTGGGTTTTTTTAATTGTGTGTTCATAGGTGAATAGTACTGTGAGCAGGAGGTTAGCGATAATGCTTCTACCAAATGACATCATCATTTCATTGACTTGGAAGGGTAGCTTTTTAAAACCTGAAACACAACATATATGATTTGCATAGGGAAGAAGCAGTCTGCTAGAGTGACAGCAACGCACCAGATGTGCCAACCTCATAAATTAGGAAAAGATTATGCATTGCCAGCTGTACCATAAAAATGCCCAGTTTATTATACTACGCCATGACTCTTGGTGTTTATCATATGGTAGAGCATCTGGTCAGTCCTGTCCACCTCCTATATATTTGCTCCAAGCAGGAATGGGTTCCTTTTTTATTGTTTACATTCCGGGATTCTTCCAGGTTCTATGTAATTTGTTCTTGCTGTGAGACAATGTATATCTTCCTGATAGTGAGAAAAGGAAATTGGTTAATGCTCTAATCAAAATGTTCCAAATTGATATTCTAATCAAAAATAGGCAAGAAAGCAAAAAAGGGAAGCATCTCTCAAAATGTTGCCAAATGCAAAAAGTCTTTAAAGTGGAAGAGGCCAAGGCAGTGGTTCTTCATATTCTGTTTCACTGCCGTATGCTCTCAAGTGCTTTGGTTCTCAAATTGAACATTTCCATCTAGTTTGGGATTTAGCTTACTATTTCTATGGCCATTTTGGACACTTAATTGCCATTCAGGGTATGCTTGTTTCAGGTAACAAAAGGAAGAAGAGGTAAAAGACCAATTTTAGCACCAAAAATGGTCTCAGAGAACACATTTTCTCACAGATGATAAGCTTGATGTACAGGTGAGCCTGCACGGTCAGAATTTCTTTTTTACATAAACCTTTTTCCTCAATACCTGCAATTCATTTACAGTGGTGCCTCGCAAGACGAGTGCTTCGTTTTATGACGAAATTACATAACGACAAAATTTTTGCAATCGCAAAACGATGTTTCCTATGGGGTTTTTTCGCTTTGCAATGATCGGTTCCCTGCTTTGCTAACCGATCGTTGCAAAACGATGATTTTCGCACAGCTGATCGGCGGTTTCAAAATGGCCGCCAGGTAAAAAAAATGGCTGCCCGCTGTTTTCTAGGACAGATTCCTCGCTGCACGGGCAGTGAAAATGGCCGCACTATGGAGGATCTTCACTGGACAGTGAGTTTCAAGCCCATAGGAACGCATTAATCGGGTTTTAATGCGTTTCTATGGGCTTTTAAAAATCGCTTTACGATGTTTTCGTTCTATAGCAATTTCGCTGGAACGAATTAACATCGTAATGCGAGGCACCACTGTATAGATAGCCAATAATCACCAGTGTCTTGCCTAGAAACAGTTATACAGTGTTTTCTCCTCTGCCCTTCCGTTAGATCTTTATTGACACTTTGTTACCTGTTTTGAACTTTTGTTAGTCACATAATTATAAATGTTGACTTTGGAATACAACCTTTTATTTTGCAAACAATTGTGTACTTTATCATTTTCACCACAATTATGCTTTACTGCTGCCTGTAATCACTTACCAGAAGAATATCCTTTGGGGTCCCACAACCATTATATTTTGTTTTGAAAGAAAGTTTAAAATGCAGTCAACCACATCATCTGGTAGGAGGAGAGAAAATAAAACCGACAAGTCTTTAGGATACAATTGATAAGCTTGTAAAGTGCACTGTAATTCATAGATTTGTAATGTTCAAGTTGGCACAAGACCTCTTTTCCCAATGGGGAGAAAGACAGCATATAAACATAGCATACTGATTGATCAGTAGATGGTGCTCTTGCGCTGTGTTTTAAGTATTCCTTGAACAGCAGCCAGGAGAACCATAGAGGGTTCCAGCTAATGCTGGGAATCTTGACGATTCTTTGTTTTTAACAATACCAACATTGCAGAAGTATGGAATGATTTATCTAATAACATATATACTCTAAACTTTGTTTCCAGTAAATTGCAAGAGTGGGAAAATATATTTGGCCTTTTAAATTTAATTTGGAAATAAATGGAGTGTTGTGTGTTTGTCTGCCTTCTTTGGGCTGTATATTTTCCATGCCAGACTTCTGAGCTGTCACCAAAATCAAACTAGTGAAAATCAAACTAGCCTCTTGCCTCATCAGCTTTTAGGGCACCTGTAAAAACAATGCACTCCTCTACACACACACACAAACACTCACCCCTGAGAAGAAGCAGGACATGCAACCAGGATTGAAAAGGTTCATTCTGTTTCTGCAACATTTTCTGATCTACAGGACTTCAAACTTGAAAGCAACTATTTTGACGACCAATGTAGACTTCCTGCCACAAACCAGTGGTGGAAAATTAGTTACTCCAGTTATCTGGCAAGATGAAATGTCAGGCCACACTTCTTTATATTTTAAAGAAAGTAGTTCACAGAAGTCTATACAAGGGCAAATTAGGATAACAGTATCTTGTTAAGAAGAGAGGGCGTTCCTCAGCTTTTAACTTGAATTAAACCAGAAGCTTAATGCCCTTTGTGTGTTGATATGTGCTTTGTTTCTGGAAAGTGTTGTCCAGGAACATAATCTTTCCACGTTTTGCTGTAAAAGTAAAGGTTCCCCTTGACATTTAGTCCAGTCGTGTCCGACTCTAGGGCGTGGTGCCCGTCCCCGTTTCCAAGCCGTAGAGCAGTGTTTGTCCGAAGACAGTTTCTGTGGTCACGTGGCCAGTGCGACTAGACAGAACGCCATTACCTTCCCACCATGGTGGTACCTATTTATCTACTTGCATTTACATGCTTTCGAACTGCTAGTTTGGCAGGAGCTGGGACAAGCGACGGGAGCTCACTGCGTCGCATCGATTCGATCTTACAACTGCTGGTCGTCTGACCCTGCAGTCCGGAGGCTTCTGCAGTTTAACCTGCTAAGTGGAAGGCGCCCTATTCTGCTGTATACTATCAATAATTTAAAAATTTGAGGTGAAAATGCTGCACCCTGTTCTGCCCGTAGGTTTGTCTGCCCCTCTTATTCCCCTCAAGCTGTGAAGCTGATGTTTCCTGAAATAAACAACATTCAGAACAAGGTTCCTCTTAGTATGCACATTGGGGGAACCTGGTGTACTTTCTGTTACCATTCTAGCCAAAAATGGATTTCCTGTGCTTGAGAAAGGAGAACTACTTGGAGCCCTCATCAAATATGCTGCCTTTGTGGTTGAAAGCGTAGTTGAGCTAGCTGGTGTTTGCAGAGACAGGCACAGTTTCTGGCTGTGATATGACATGGGAAAGATGAATCAATTTGTGGAGAAGCGGATTTGCTGCAAGGCAGTCCTTGAATTAAAATGCTAAACCTGATTCAAATACAGGGTCCCCCCTGCCCCCCGGGGAAAGGTTCATGGTACCTGAACATTACCTCTAAGAAGAGCAACCTATTACATTCAGTGCACTACATGCAGTTATACAGTTCTATCATGGCTGTGAATTTGATTAGAATTTGATCCCAATTCTACTGTCCCAAAGATACTGATGAGGAGTTAGACTTTGAAGTAACTAGCATTGTCTTTGAGTGCAGTTCTGCACACACAGAATGTTTTTGTCCCTCTGCTTCAGTAGGATCTGGGAAGTGTTGGCACCACACCAAACGTCAAGACCACAGCACGTGGTAGAGAATTCATGCTTTCCCTCATATATTGCTGGACTGCCTTAGGGTTGATGAGAGTTATAATCAAACATCTGGAGGCAACAACATTGCTCCTACCTGTGGAAGACAATACAGATACTAATAACTGATGCTCATTTGGACTCCCTTGTTAGTGTTTTGTAAATGCACAGTTTTGTACTTTGCATCAATAACCCAACTGGAAAACAGTGTGAATTATACAGAAACATAAATATAATCTTCTTTAGAACTGGTATACAAAGCTCAAGAAAACACCCTCACTGGGTTTTTTTTTAATTTTAAAAGAGAAATGTTGACTGGAATCCTGTTGTGTAGTGTGGGACCAGCCCCACTCCCTCTACTGGTAAGAGTGGGGTTTCTACCTCCTTGAGAGTAAGGGCAAGATTCCTGACCTACAGTTCACCTGTGGACTGGAACTGACACGAATGATGCCTTAAAAGCTACACATGCGGACATGGAGGGCTGGAGAAGAGTGGAGACGAAGAGGGAGACTGTGGGGCAGATGTTGTTGACTGGGGGACATTCGAGGCCCAGGAGATACCAGTGCTGCTAGAGTGCTCAACAACTGGTTGGAGGAAAATCCGTCACCTGGACAGTGACAGCAGGCATAAGGAGGAATTCTTTGTGCTGTTGAAGGAAGCAATGAAATGTCCTCAAATGGTTAGAAGAGGCGGGGCTCCACTTCTGCCAGTAAAACACTGGTGGAATGGTCAGGTTGACCTGAATTGTTTGGGGGTGCAGTTAACTGGCACTCATAGAGCTGTTTTAAGTTTTGTTGTTGAGGCACGTTGGCTCTGTTACAGTTGTGTTGCTCTAATA